TTTTTTTTTTTTTTCACCCCCCGCCGGTTCGGGGGTTTTTTTTTTTAAAAAAAAAAACCAGAATTTTTTTCAGTTTAGTTCCTTCCAAAAGAGATCCCTTAGAGCAGGGGCAATTTCGAGGGCAAAGTTTAGGGCAGGGGCAGGGGGTGGAGGCACGGGGCAGGGGGCAGGGGCAGGACACTCAGGCCGCTGCCCCTGCCCCTGGTTAAAGAGCTGCTCCTCCAGGAGGGCGCCCCCCAGGCTGTACTCTTCGTGAAGACGCACTTCTTCGGGCGACAAGTGGCTTCCTCCAAGGACGAAGTCTGCAAACCTATTAAGTATTTTGTGTTTGTTTTAAAGAAAGTTCATGTGACCACGGAAAGGTTTGCTGGGAAGAAAACAGCTCCCTTGCTCCGTGTCCTCTTTAGAGAAGTGCAGGTGGCAGCAATGAGAGTGGCGTCTACACGGGAGGTGGAAGCCGACGGACCTTCAGGGAGGGCGGGGGGGCGGGGGGCAGACGCCAGCCCAGCGCTGCCGAGACCCACTCTGCTCCCTAACGCTCTCTTCTCTCCCTGAGTCTGGATTTGTTCCTTATTTTACTGTCGACACTTCCCCTCCGAGCCTCCCCTGAGGGCAGGGGGTCTGACTGAAGCCCCCCATCTTTCCCTGAGGGCAGGGGGTCTGACTGAAGCCTGCAGGAGGGGAGCAGAGGGGAGGATGCGGGCAGAGAGGCCTTGGGGTGAACTCCAGCATCACTGCCCACACCAGCAGAAGCAGGGCCGCAGCCGTCCCACCCTCCGGCTCCTCTGGGCGTCGCCTCCCGCCTTCCCGTACGAGCCCCTTCCTTGTAGGAGCCCCTTCCCGGTAGGAGCCGAGCTGTTGCTCCTATACTCACAGTTCTGCCTGGGCCAGGGCCAGAGCACCAGGGGAGCGGCTCTGGCAGCCTCGCTCGCCTTCTAACGCGGGGTCTGCACCAGCCATCACAGACCCTCGCAGCGACTCGAACCCGGGCCCGGGGCTGAGCGGGGCTTACTTTTTCGGCGCCTGGAGCCTGGACATGACCAGCCAGGACGGGAAGTCGGGCCGGCGGCAGGCCTGGCGCAGCTCCTCCAGGGCCCGGGTGGTCTCGGCGGCAGCTTGCTCCCGGTACTCCTCCTCAGTCAGGTACCTGAACGCCAGCCTTCGGGACGTCAGCCACTTCTTCACGTTCCTAAGACACGGCATTTGGCTGCTAGGTTCCTGGCCGTATCGGGCTATTCAGCTCAACTCCCAAGACTTTGAAAATACGTTTCTTGGACAGCAGTGGTCATAGTTCCTCACTTCCTGTGTACCAAGCTATATACATGCTAAGCCAGGACCACGCTTCCATGCTGCTTTCGTGAACGCGGTACTTGGAACACGCCGTGCGGGCCTGCCGGCACACGCCCCTCCTCGGGTCCATCCTAATGGACCTCAGGCCCTAGTGCGGCTTCTGAGGGTCAGTCCAGTAGAGATGTCAGTGCGTCTTCCTTCCTGGTGATTGAACCGCCCAGGGGACGGCGCAGGCCTGGCTTCCTGGCGCGGGACGGGCTGCTTTTCTTGGCACTGAGAGGCGGGCCTCGGGGACGGCTGCGGAGACTCACCGCTCACCGCTCACCGTCCAGACCGAAAGCAGGAGGCTCTGCGGCACGGCCTGGCCTCCGCTGCGGAGTGGCCGCCCCTGGAGGGAGCGACGTGCCCAGGGCGTGTGTGTGTGTGTGTGCGCGTGTGTGCGCGTGTGTGCGTGTGTGTGCGTGTGTGTGTGTGTGTGTGTGTGATTTACACCGGCTCTCACTCTGCCACATGCTCAGGACCGGAAGTGCTTTCCTACCTGGGAGTCCCAAAGGGAAGCCTCTCATACAAATGCTAACGACAATGAACAAGGTCTTAACCTAATCATTTATAAATGAGCGCTGAAATGTTTCCGGGCCGTTCACATGTTAATTTAAGGGAGACTCCCTCACGGGAGTGAACATGGGGGTCCTGAGTGCATTTTTCTGGGGGATCCGGACCTGAAAGGCTTTTCCCTGTAAAGATCCTGGGGGCTGATGTGTTAGCCCAGGGCCCGCTGACGTGGTTTCCAATCCGTCTCCTCTGAGCACCCGCCCGGCCTCTGTGGGGAAGACCGGCACAGCCCGGCTCCGAGGCCGCCCACCGTGGGGACCGGGCAATTCCTCCCCCGTGCCGCGCCGACCTGCTCACGGGAGAACCCGAAGGCAGCTAGCACCGACCTCACCAGGTCCCCGCACAGGTTGCAGGACACTCGCACCAGTGCTCAGCGCAGCGAGCGCCCATCGTGAGTGTTCAGTAAGTACAGAAACAAAGACAGCTGCCGTACGTTATAGAAACAAACTCCCACAGCTCTTTGAGAGCCGGAAAGCACGCTAGACACCAGGGTGCTGTTTCTCTGGCCCGTTCCTTAGCCTATAAATACGCTCCTGTCTTCCCCTCGTCCTTCACGCCATCGCCCACCAGCCGCGTGGCGGGAGGCGGTCCTGTGCACGTTGACG